CCGAGTCAACTGTCAGAGGCTAGGGGCGGGTTAGAGTCCCGTGAGAGCTCCTGTAGGTGAAACTTGGCATTCTTCAAGAAAGCCGACCTCCACCGGATGGTGTAGACCATGCCTGTTTCACATGCAACAGGAGACCCATTCTTCAACCCAACTCTTGCAGCTGAACTCACGCCAGGCCAGGGGTCAGAGGTTACTGGGAGAGCTCAGCCAAGCCTCTATCAGAAGGACCAGGCAGTGACCCTCCGGCCACCCTTTGGAAGTCTGGAGCGTCACCTCTGAGACTGGCGGAGCAGGAGTCCTGCCTCCTCACACATACCCCCAGTCACATGTCCAACCCATCCCAAAACAGTTCTGCCCTCACTGCCTTTTGAGGGCCCCAAACGCTACAAATACTAGTTGGGTGAAAAAAATATGGCCATTTAAAAAGAGCAAGATAGGTTTTCTAGCCCCTCAACCCAGAGCTTTAATATAGACAGAAGTGATATTCTCCGAGACCTCCTTCCATCTCGTTTCCGTAGGAAGCGAGAGAAATGGGAGCCCTCACCACTGAGAAGCCCCGGTCTGCCCCTTACCTGTACTCGGCGACCCCTCCCGAGTGCTTCTTCATCGCCGTTTCAGAGCTCATCCCATAGAAGAGCTTGAGTTTCTGCCCGTCCCTCTCGATCACCTCTCCAGCACATTCGGTGTGGCCCGAAAACATCCCTCCCAGCATGACAAAGTCTGCTCCAGCTCCTAAACACCAAGTGTGGGACAAACAGAGGGAAGAGCTCAGAGAAAATCAGCTCTGGAAAGATCCCAGGGCTACCCCAGCTCACCCTCCCGCCTCCTAGCTACAGTCAAGAGTAAAGCTCAGCCCTGCCCTTGTGAAAAGGTTCAAGGTTCCCTTTATAGGGAGTCAGGCATTGGACGCTCAGGAAACAAGTGCGGCCTCCTGAAGGTCGGTGGCTAATACGCAGGTCAGTCCTTAGCAGTTAATGACTAACTTCCCGAGGTCCAGCTCTTTTAGAATCAGAGAAATGTTAGCAGCTGAGCAGCACCTGAGACGGGATGCTGCCAATCTCATGCTGAATGCAGCAACTCCTCCGCAGTGTCCCCATCGGGCGCACAGTCTGCCTTAAGCTCTCCGCACACTCACACCCTGACGTGTAGATCATGAGAAGACCTCAGAGCAGACGGGACCTCCTATACTAGAGACTGGCATGAAGGAGAGACACCCACTCATGTATGTATGCATGTATGTACAGTGTGTAAAACTCTCTCTCGCCTCTATTGTGATAAATATTTGACTTCCGGAGTAAAAAATATCCCATATTAATCACCAAATGACATGAAACTTCCAGGCTAGGTTCGGAGGAGACTGGGGTACTGAAGCTGCCTACGTAAGCTGTGTTGGGACAGGGCCGGGAACCGCGGGAACAGCAGGGCTGGCTCACTGCTGTGCCCTCAGGGTCTGTCAGTGCATGGCACATGGGAGATGCAAATGACTCGTTGTCAAGGAAGAAAAAGGCGTTATGTGGAAGCCCCCACCCGTCCATGGACACCGTGCTACAACCTGTAACAAACTGCTGCAACCGCTCCCCACCCGTGAGTCCTGTGGAGGGCTTGTATTCAAAACACGAGGTCATCAGGGCACAGGTGTATTACATAATTAGGGTGAAGGACAAGAGGAACAAGCATAGGAACCCCTGAAAAGTGGCCTTGACCTCTATCTGGTGGTTTAGTTATAAGAGGACCTTGGGGAGACAGAGGCATATGAGGGGGGAGGCGAGGCACACAGTCCTGCAGCTCAGCGTTACAGAAAGACAGGCTGTGCAGGGCAAGCCCTTGGCCTACAGCCAGGCAGGCACCACAGGACCTTTCCACCTGGCAACCAGCTTTGAAGACCATTCCTTGTGGGGTCGCTGACACAGACGCCGGCTCCGTGGCCCCTGTGCCATGATTATAAGGGGCAGAGAAAGCTAGTGTCCAGCCAGGCCTCCTGATGACCACAGCCCTGGGAGCAGAGGGAAACAGCAGGAACACAGAGCACAAATCCGCTCAATGATGCTCCGAAGTGGCTTCTAATTATTTCCATTTCTGACCACTCTCCTGTCCTTCCCCAACATGGTCCCCCTCCTCATGCTCACTCAGCCCCTGGCTGCACTGACTGGAAGGAGAGTGGGCGAGGGAAGACGCCAGGAACCTCACCCAGACCTATCTGCGAGGCTCCTTCCTCAGGTCCAGGCACCTTAACGTGTACTCAGCTCCCACTCTGAGCAGGGGCACTGTGTGCGCTGTTAGCAGGGAGCCCAAGACGGAACACCCATCAGTGTTAAGCAGCAGCTGCTCAGAAATCAATAGTAAAAATGTCCTTAGCCTACGGTCCTTACATCAAGGTTACTGAGCGCACTAGAATAGCAGGAGACCCGTGTTCTCCCTGCTCTGCCCCGGAGTATGGGACCCTGACTTTGTCACTTGCCTCTCAGAGCCTTGTCCCCTGGACATTCTTCAGGTTCGCTACAAACTACAAACCCAGCTGCTGAGAACACTGCCCCATGTGTCCTTTTGTCACCATCAGGGTTTAAAAACTAAAAACAAAAACAGCCAATGCCTAGCCTACAACTTTCTGTGGGATGAACTCTGAACGAGTGATGAAGCACACGGGAAGGACCACTGAATGCAGGCAAGGGGAAGAGCTGCTGGCATCACCCAGCTGTGCAGGCAGCTCTGACTTCTGAACGAAGCTGGCAAAGGTTAAGTGGTGGGCACAGCATGCTGAGATGCTGGGCTTCCAAGCGCCTTCCCAAGAAAAACCCAGGACCTCCCCAGCCCCACTGGCTCACAGTGGACACTGCTGCCCCCTAGTGGGGAATGGGCTCCTCAGCCTCCGGTAAGAAAGTGCTGCCGGGAAGCCAGCCCTCCTATGGGTTTTCCCCGAAGACCCTCCCTGAAGTTACTGGTATTTGGACCCAGTACTGCCCTTTTCCACAGGTGCCCTGAACCTCCTCAGGCCATGACTTCACCCACTCCTGGCTTGCAGAATGCCGTCCCTAGATATGTCCCTGGGTACTCTGCCAGCTCTGCCACCAGCCAGAATGAAACCAATGCCAGGATTTGGGCCAGTTAGGCCTGAAATCCTGGGAGAGAACACTCAGGACTGGCCCAGGACATCCCTGCAGGTTCCACCTCCTCATTCCAGATCCTACCCAGCCCCCAGTTCCCACCACAGCCAGCTCTCAGCTGCAGGGAGCTCCCTCCCCTCCCTCCGTTCTCCTTACCAAAGGCTTTGGCGACATCTCCTGGACACGTGCAGCCTCCATCCTTCAAGGAGGAAAGAGCAAAGGGGATGTCAGGGGGAGCTCACCCAGGCTGTCCCTCTCCCCTGGGGTGCCTGGAAGTTCATGCCCATCCCCATCCCCCCGCCAAGTACACAACCCCCAGAGCCAAAGCCCAACATTCCCCTCTCAACAGGGCACCTTCCATCCCCCAGCCCTGTCCACTGCCTGGGAAGCTGCTGAGCACAAGAGGGGCTCACACCTCCTCCAGCCCCTTACACAGCACACCTAGCCATTCCCCCACTCAGTAGTCACCTCTCCCCACCTGCCTGGTGTGAGGTGAAATTTATTTAGTACAAAGGCTGAATAATTTTAAGAGCCAAAAAGAACACTGAGTTCATTCCTGTGTATTTCCAGCCACCTTGTGTGTTTCTCATTAACCTGCATGCAACGTACCCAGTTACCTTAGTCGAACATGCATCCCTGACACCGCCCCACCCACCTGGAAGACAGTCTCTTACCCTGGGCTGCCCAGCACAGTTCAGCTGTGGGGTTAGGTTTAAACACCAGCAACCTTGCCAGGCCAGTGTGGCTCAGTGGTCGAGTGTTGAACCATGAACCAGGAGGTTGCCCAGTTCAATTCCCCGTCAGGGCACATGCCTGGGTTGCAGGCTCGATCCCCAGTGGGCGGCGTGCAGGAGGCAGCCGACAGATGATGTTTCTCACTGATTTTTCTCTCTTCCCCCCCTCTCCCTTTCTCTCTAAAATCAATAAAAGCATATTTAAACACCAGCAACCCAGTACCAGCTTTCCAGGATGCAAAGCCACTGTGCTCCTCACAAAGGGCACACGCCCTGCTATTCACAATGTGGCCAGTGTGAGGTCCAAGGTGGCAAGGGTGGCCTGGAGTAGCTGCCAGACCCAACAGGGGGAGGCAAAGAAGCAACCTGGGCAGGCAGGGTCAGCGCTCAGGGCTGATAAGATGTGACAGCCCAAATTTAGTGTGGGTCTTGGAGGAACCCCAAGGTCTCAGAGGGAAGTGTCTGTTGCCCAAAGGTGGGACCCACCCTCAGAGTGGCCAGACGAGCACCGGGAAGAACACAGAAATCACCGGCCACCCAGACTGCCTTGATTTACACTTGGCAGGAAGGAGGGGTGCCTCTGGAGTTGGGGGCACCTCTGGAGCTGGAGGGCATCTATGTGGAACTGGGACCCCTTCCTGAATAGCGTCTCCAGCTGAGGACATAGCATCTCTGTGACTCAGTACTATTTTCTGGCTGCTATTTAGACCCTCACTCCAGGACCTAGAGCTCAAATACTGGTTCATGACTTCTTTGCAGTGACTTCTCAGCAAAAAGCAAGTATGAAGGCTCAACCTCTTCCTTTACAAACGTTTACTGACTGCAAGTATTTCCTCAATCAAGTGTGTTATTCGCTTCTCTGACGCCCTGACGACCACCAGCTAGCAAGGAGTGAATTTCAGACACCTCCCCACTGAAGGCATGTGGCCAAGCCCTCCCCGTGCAGACAGCAACGGGCAGGCGGCTCTGCACATCCAGTCAGTGCTTCAAAGCTGCAGAATACTTACTCTTTCAAAGGAACAGCCCCATATGCCCTTCACGTATCCTGCCAATTATTTTTAAAGTGCTCTACCTCTTTATCTAAACCAGTTCTACACAATAGGGTTTCAAACTTATAACCTCAAAAGATGAAATATACTCATGCTCTTGTTAAATAGGTCCCTAACATACTGACTTTGAACACACACACCCCCCTTACGTCTTTTGCTCACCTGCTTGTAAGTAACCCGTGACTGCTCGGGTATCTCATGTGGGGCCCTGAAATTCCACATTTCTGTGGTTAGTGATGAGGCTGCCTCAGAGGATCTGTGCTACCGGGACCCTGAGAAAGTGAGCTCTCCTCCCAGGATGGACCAGATCCACAGTTAGTAGGACTTGTGACACGCTGGGGCAAGGAAGTCACATCTGCAGTGCCCTCTCCTCACTCTGTCTGGGTACACACAGAGTGCAGGCCAACACGCTGATGACATGTCACCCAGTGCCACCCAACATCACATCATGCTGCAGAGCACAGGGGTCGGCTCCCTGATACCATCTGCAGGTGACTTCCAAAAGTTGTTCAAAGCATGATTTCATGTTGTCAGGAGGCAGAGCAGAAGGGACAAACCCCTGAGATCTAAGAGACAATTAACTTCATACAGAAACATTCCTAGCTGTTGGAAGCTTGTTTTAAAAAAGTGTGCAGCCCTGGCTGGTGTGGCTCCGTGGTTAGAGCGCCGGCCCTCCGAATGAAGGGTCTCGGGCTCGATTCCAGTCAAGGGCATGTACCTCGGTTGCGGGCTCGATCCTTGGCCCCAGTTGGGGAGCAAGCTGGAGGCAACCGATCGATGTGTCTCTCTCACATCGATGTTCGTCTCTCCCCCTCTCTGTCTCTCCCTTCCACTCTCTCTGCAAAGCAATGGAAAAAATATCCTCGGGTGAGAATTTAAAAAAAAAAGTATGCAGTGCTTGCTTCAGTAGCACATACACTAAAAAAAAAGTGCAGATATTCAAAGGGTTACTTGGTTTGTTTTTCAAGAGTGTTAACACTGTATTTTAGTAGAAAAGGCATCACATCACACAAGTGGTGATTCAATCAGTGAAGTGTCAGCATATCTCTTCTTTTTGAAAAAAAGAAGTACTCATCCCTCAAATAAGGGGTAGTAAAAGCAAACATGGGGTAGGCAGAAGAAATGTGACTCAAACACCTACTATGAGCCAGGAACTGTTACAAACTTCAATCACCACAAGAACATGAAGTTGATATTTTGTAGGTGAGGGAGGTGGGTAAGGGCAGCTCAGACAGGTTGAGTGACTTGCCCAAGATCACACAGCTACAATAATAGAAGAACAAGACTGGAACCCTGGTTAAGAGTAAACTCTAAAAATGTCTAGAATCATACCTATCAAAGCATTAGTGGTGGTTACCTTAAGATGATGGCAGTTCTAGTCATATTTATTTTCTTTACCTTTATTTGTATTTTATAACTTTTTCTAGGCTAAACCTATTTTTATTTGGGTAATTTTTCAAGTCTAAAAGAATTATTTAAAAGAATTTGTTTAGGTATTTCTAAATCAAGGTCCATCTGTTCCTAAAGTACTATATTAAGTCAATACGATTACAGTGGTACCTTGGTTTTCAAATGTAATCCATTCCGGAAGACCATTCGAGTTCTGAAATGTTCAAAAACCAAGGGATCCACAGCCAACAGCGAGGCCTCAGGATCTTGCCCTCAGCGGAAGCCATGCGGCATGTTCGACTTCCGAGGCACGTTCAAAAACTGAAGCACTTCTGGATTTACAGCACTCGTAAACCGAAATGTTCATCAAAGGAGATGTTCCAAAACCGAGGTACCACTGTATAGGCAATTTGCTGATCAATCTTTTCACTTCTTTGCCGAGGATCAGCGAGGGGATGAGGACAACGACTGGGTGTAGGAAGGAGACTGAGGACTGCTTTGAATCAACCCAACCCTCTATCATTAACAGCCCCTCAGGGCATCAGGCCTCCTCAAACTTGATAAGCGCATTCTCTAGGTCTTTACAGCATGCACTGATTAAAATGCTGAACTTGAATAAAGAAGAGGCGATAGTAATCCCAGTCAACCTAGTCATAGGATGTTTTTAGGTCCTGAGAAGCACTACAAAAGTCCGAGCCATTTTGGTTGTTGGTGCAAATCCCTCCCCTTCCAGTGGTTCAGCAGGTGCTGATTCTTGAGTCTTCTCTGCAAGACGTGCTTGAGGACTCTGAGGGGAAAGGACCTGGTATAGAACAGATTAAGCTGAAGTCTCCCAAAGCACTGTGGTGGGAAAATGAGCAGCCTGGGATCCTGCAGAAACCTGCATTCCCTGTGAATTCAGCAGGCCCTTCACCCTCTTTGAGTCTCAATTTTAATGAGGGAGGGCACGGGAGGGAGGAACACTGGAGATGAACAGACTTTGGTCTGAGTGCTGGCTCTGCCCCCACCACAGTGTGATGTTGAACAAGTTACTTAAGGACACGCACTAAGCCTCAGTTTTCTCACCTGGTATGATTGTTAATTGTATGTGTCAACTTGAGTGGGCGACGGAGTGCCTGGATATTTGGTTAAACATCATGCTGGATGCTTCTGTGGGGATGTTTGTCAGTAAGATTCACATCTGAATAAGTGGACTGAGTAAATCAGATGGCCCTCTCTAATGTGGGTGGGCCCCTTCTAATCCGTTGACGGTCTGAGTGGAACAAAAAGGCTGACCCTCCCCGAGAGAATTTTTCCTAATTGACTGCCTTTAAATTGGGAAGTGGGCTTTTTCCTGTCTTAGGATTCCAACAGAAACATTGGCTCTTCCTGGTTCTCACACCTTCAGACTCAGGCTAGAACTCCACCATCAGCTGTCTCTAGCTTGCTAAGCCATCCTTCAGATGTTGGGGCTTCTCACCCTCCATAATCACATGAACCAGTTCCTTATAGAAATTCTCTCTCTCTCATCACACACACTACTGGATGTTTCTCTAGAAATCCCTAATACACCTATCAAATAAAGATAGCAGCTACCTTGTCAGGTTGTTCCAAGGATTCAAGATTGTATGTATGTTATGCCTGGCAGATAGTAGGTGCTCAATAAATGATAGCCATTACTTCCTCCAAAGCTGTTTCCGCCTTTAAAATTCTCTCCTTTGTGCGACATCCCTAGCAGATGACAAGACAAAATTAACTGGTCACACCTTCATCTTCACCTACACGGGAGGTATCCCGAATTTTTCAGCTCTCTGCTGCTCAGAGCCCATGTTGGCCACAATAAACAGAAACCTGACTCAAGTCCAGCCTCTTGGGTATAAGCACCTGCTGAACAGACCCTATGCTGCGGCTTCCTTCTGAACTTCACTGGCACAGATGTGCTAACTCAGCAACTAAAGTGTGAAATGAAACAGCTGGAAGGCAACGGATAAAGTGGCAGGATCCCAAACATCAGATGGGTTTCCAGCAAGTCTAGGACTGCCGGCAAGTGGGAGAAAAATACTTGTGAAACTCCCTTAGTCAAAGGGACTGTGAGGACAACAGCTGCTCCCAAGACACTCAGCTGGTCAGAAGGAATGAGCTGAAGTCAAGACTACGGACCCCTCATAAGTCTGCGAACTTTGATCTTTTGGCTAAAAATTGAACTTCTAACCCCATCTAGGAAATCTCTCACATTAATGGAAAGTCAAAGAACCTCGTAGCACCAGTTCCACTGCCTGAGCTGTCAGTGTCCCTCGCTGACAAATTCAGAGCTGTTCCTGGCACTACCTGATGAGACCTAACTCTGGAACAATGACCAGAACCGTAGAAGCTGGAGGTTCTCAGTCTTGACAGCACATCAGGATTACCTGGAGGACTTGTTAGAACAGACTCCTGGGCCTCACCTTCTGAGTTTCTGATTAAGGTCTAGATAGGGTCTAAAATTTTCTCACAAGTTCTCAGTTGACATTGATGCTGCTGGTCTGGGCACCACACTTACAGAATTGCTGAAATAAGCTATACACGAGGTGTGCTGTGTAAAGAGAGCCCAAGCTGATTTCCAATCAGTCACCTGTGGTGCAAGCAGAGCCTCCACCCCCTTCCACAACCGGTCTCGTCAACTAAGCAGGTATGAAATTCCTAGAAAGGCACAAGTATGGGATCTCAGAATACGTGCATAGTAAAATTATTAATTTGACCTCCACTGATTTGGAAATGGTACCCATTCAAGGTATATGATATAGGTTCTAAATTCTGATTAAGATTCTTCATGGTAACAGAGGCTTATGGCTGATGACATATGCTGCTTTTGGGGGCCAACCTCTGAAGAGTTCAATTCACTAGGATGGGGTCTAAGAATGTCAATTATAAAAGGCTTCCCTGGTGATCCTCATGCAGTCAGCCTGAGACAAGGCTACTGTCAGCATCTCAAAACTACTGGCGTATTGGAGAAGGTGCAGTCTGATGGGTTCTCACTCAGCCAATCACCTCACTCAGCAAATGTAGGATAATAGCTTTATGTCAGCCTCTTACACACTAGTTGCTCAATAAATGGGTTAATCTGTTCATTGAGGCAAAAGCTAAAGGGAAGGGTATTGAATGGAGGGCCTTAGATCTCTGCCTCCAATCAACCTTCAGTCATTTATCAGTTTGTAGCACAACAGTAGATGCTCTGTTAAGACTTGTGGACTGTATGGGGATGGGTGGATGAAAAGCCTGGGTGGATGAAAAGCCTGGGCAGATGAAAAGCCTGGGTGGAGAAGTAGAAGAAGCACAGGAAATCTGCACCGGAGCTCAAGTTAAGGACCTGGATCCTAGTTTCAGTTGTTGCCTGAAGGACCCGGGGAGGGGGGAGGGGGGAGCAACAGGTGCAGCTCACACGCTGTAGTAAGGCTCAACAGAGAGGATGTGCATGTGGGATTTTTAAAGAGTATTCACATACCCTCAAAACAGGTCCAGAACTCAAACCGCCACAGGCTGAAATGCTGAGCCAAAATCAACAAGACACTATTCCACAGGGATATGTAATTCAAAGTGTGGCTCAGTGGCTGAGCATGGACCTATGAACCAGGAGGCCAGGGTTGGATTCCCGGTCAGGGCACATGCCCAGGGCTGTGGCTGGATCCCCAGTAGGGGGCGTGCAGGAGGCAGCCGATCAATGACTCTCTCTCATTATTGATGTTTCTCTCTCTCTTTCCCTCTCCCTTCCTCTCTCTGAAACCAACAAAAAACATATTTAAAAAAAACAACCTAGTATTTAATGTGGGAGCACAACTCAGCAATTGTACAACTAAAAAGATCTGAAGATGTAATTTACTATATTCAATATAAGTCCATGGTTATAGAACCACTAAAAATGTGTTACTTCAGAATTTGTAAAACAAAACAAAACAAAACAAAAATACACACATGTATCATCCACATAAGGAGAAGCCATGGTTCTATCTGAGTCCGTCCAATTATATCTGATATGCTCTTCCTGTTCTGAGCATCCCATGTAGAAGGGGAGAGACATAGTAACTCTGTACTGTGGTCACATTGATAAGGTGGAGAATTACAAAAAAACTGAGGATTTTAACTTGATATTCATTCAATTGCCTGAGAGCTGTGGTACTGTTCTTCCAGGAGCTTCAGAAAGGTGTCCTCAGATCACTACCTGCCTCTCCTCACCTCCTTCTGTACCTGTCCCCACCTGCAAAAATCTAACTTCTGCCCTGACAGGCCACTGCATCTGCTCTCGCTGTGGCAGCTGGCAGCATCCAACCCTATGCAGATGTGACCAGTAAGATGAGGTCCTCCTGAAGGAGGCTGGGCCTCTAATCCAACAGGACTGGTGTTCTTACAAAAAGGAGGAATCTGGACACAAAGACAGACACGCACATGGGTAGGACACTATATGAAAACAGTAATTGTGGTGCCACAAGCCAAGGGACTATTAGAAGCTTGAGAGGCCTAGAGCAGAGCCTTCCCTGGAGCATTCATGGCCCCACCAACACCTTGATCTCGAACCTCTGGCCTGCAGGACTGTGAGACAACATGTGTCTCTTGTTTAAGGGCCCAGTTTGGGTGGCCCTCTCGTTTTCCCAAAGTTCCTCACATGCCCATCATGCTACGTACCACTCTGAGTTGTTACTGACTAGCGTTCTTACTAACTAATGTGCCCACCTCGCTCACTGCAGAATGAGTGGGTAGGGCCTGTGTCTGCTATGCCCACAGTGCCCACTCATTCCCAAGCCCAGAGGATGCCACTGGGTGAACAGCAGCTGGAAGCAGGGTTCCCTCAGGGCCAGGAAGCAGGGCCCTGAAATCCCGACCTGCTCCCCAATTTGTCCCCCAGCCCCACGTGGAGACTTACAGAGATGATGTGCCCCTTCAGGCCATGGGCAGAGTCGGCGCACTCTATCACAGCACTCAGCTGGGGGTAGCCCACCCCTGTCTTGGTGCGGGTGGTGCACACAGAGCCTGGATGGAAGAAGTAGTGAACCCCAAAAAGAGATGGTTAATGAAAGAGTAGAATGGGGCATAAAATGAGCCTCCATCACTGTCACACAGCCCTGCCCCAATTTCCTGGGGGTGAACTTCCCATGGCATAGGAGAGGGGCGAGGGGAGGCGCTGCTCAGCATCTCTATGGAGTTGTGTATAACTACACCATCTGGCCATGCAGCCCTTCAGGTCCTCTTGGCCGTCACCTGCTCACGTCTAGGACATATTCCAACCCATAACCTGCCACCATCACTCTCTCCAGTGACATCAGCAACCCCTTAGTGGCCGAGCAGTGACTCCACAAGTAAAGCCCCATTCCTTCCCACTTGCTTCCCTTTCCCACAACCACACTACACTTCAAGGGACCTTAGATTCCTCCCTCAGTCTCCAGCCCTCTTCACCTTCCATTTCCATCAGATGACTAACTTCTCCATGCCTCAGTGCCTCCCCTGCGACATGAAAACAACACTGGCCTCATGGGGCTGTGGTAGAAATTAAATGGCAGAGGGCTTGGCACCAACCCTAATCCTTCCTGTACCCTCACCCACCCAACTCCATCCTCAACACGCCCTGGCCCGCTGCTCTTCATGATCTCACAGTCCACCTCCAACCCTGTCCGTGGTACCCATCCAGCCTGGACTCTGAGGTCAGCCTCCATTTCAGGACCCATGCCAGCCACCCGGGTGCCTTCATCCTCTTGACCTCTGTCTTTCCCAGGGTCAAGGCCAGCCCTGGTTGACCCTCTGCATGATCCCAGCTAGGTCCAAGCCAAGTCATGCTAGAAGCACCAGCATCTCCAGCACATGTCTCCTTGCTCAAGACCTGCCCTCCCTCCCAGCAAGTGAGCACCCTGCTCCGAGAGCACCTACATCAACCTCCTGAATGTCCATCATCCTCTCCCACCTTCTGCTCTCCCCTCCGCTGACCACACTCCAGCCGTGCTGACCTTTGAAACTCCTCCTGCACAGCGAGTTTCTTCCCACCTTTGGGATTCTCTGTACGTGATGTTCTCTCTGTCCAAACACTCCCCTGTTCCAACCCCTGGGTGTTGCCAAACCTCTCTCATCTTTCAGGCTTCACCTTAAATGCCACTGCCTCGGGAAGTTGTTCGTTACAGCACTCATTTCAAAACGAGGAATTTAGATAATTATCTGTGTCAGCACCAAGGCCCTGTTTCCTCTCTGCCCGATGGTGAGCTCCATGGGTGTTCATTCCTGTAGTTCTGAGAATAGAGCCCGTACCTAAGGCACTATAAATAGTCACGGAGAGAATGTGTGAGCTGGGGAATGAGTGAGCCACCCACACCCGTCTCCACTGCTCCACCACTCAGTCAGTGCCCTGTGAACGTGCTGTGGTGTCAATGATGGAGCGCCCTGAAGCCCTGTGAAAGCTGGGCCTGCACCTGCACTCCTCCACTGTCCGCCAGGACTGGAATGAGGTGCTCAGAGCCCCTGCCTCCTCTCCTGTTCCCCACCTCACCAGAAGCTTTGCAGCTTCCCACATGTCTCCCAGGTGTCCTTAGGAACAGGGTCAGACAGAGAACCACGTCTGTACTCCTCAGCTTGGCTTGACCAGGAAAACAGGATGGGGGGCCCTCTTCTCCTGCATCCATCCTGCTGCAGGCCAGGATCCATCTCTTTATGTTCATCCTTATAACATGTGCCTCTCTCAATCCTGCAGCCAACAAGCGTCCCTCCCCACCCTCTGTCCCAGACATGCACTGTGTGAGGCAGTTAGAACGTTACAACCTCTGGTTCTGGGTCAGACCTGGCTTTCCTCCCTCTCTCCCCTCAACTGCTAGATCCTCAAGGCAAGCAGGGGCCTCCACTGCAGAGGCCTGGAGCTCTGCACAGGTAAAGGACAGCATGGGAGTGGTCTGTTTCTTAAATATTAAAATTCTTAACATGAGATTATTTAAATTTGGTTAGGGTTAGAGCAGGACTTTTTGGATGAGGCCCCAAACAGTCTTCTACCCAATCAGAGTGGTAAAAAACTCCTAAATCACAGACTTTTGGCAGCCTGGGAATGTAACACATTTTTGGAAAATGGAGATCTGCTTTCCCCTCTTCATTTCTAGCTTCCAAGTCTGCTCTGAGGATGGCACCTGCACAGGGTCTGTGAGTCCGCAGCCCTTGGGGTCCTCTCTGAATCGAGTCCAGAGAATCCCTCTCTGGAGGCGGGTCCCTTCCCCACTATCATCATAGGAGTGGTCCTGATTAACCCCCAGGTTGAAAGGAGAAACTGGTTACATATTTTCTCCCAATCATAGGGCCAGAGATATCCATTTTTAATGCGTTTTCCCAGTTCCTGGGAGTTACTCAATAATGAACTTTTAATTGTCATTTAGATATACAATACTCAGTGTTTTTCCTCTAAAGACTTTGTGAAATGTCAATATAATCTCCAATCAATTTAAAGAAGAGGCTGCAAAACATCAGGCTCACAGGGAGCCTCTGACTCTCTCCAGTCACGTCTGTTCTAAACAGACAGCTTTGGGGTCACACAGTGACAGTGGAAGGACAATAACTCTTCAGAGGAAACAGCATGTATACACACAGAGGACGTGCATGAAAAAGCCGAGCATAGCTGAACGCTTAAGACTGCACCAAAGCAGCCCCTCGAGAGCCAAGATTGCTCACACCTCATGTCTCATACAGCACCCGCCCTGCACAGCGGCAACTACGAGACACTCAGCGCATATTTCTGATGGAACAGGTAACTGGTGAGTGCCCTACCTTTGGAAAATAGAGTCTTCCAGGTCTACTTCTAACCTGTTCTATCCTATTACAAGCCTGGCCTATTGCAGCCCATCCCAAGCGGGAGCTCACTATAAGCAAGAGCTGGGCCTTATCCCCTTGGACTTTCAACAATGATAGAGACCCAGTAAAAACCGGAGTTGTCTCTCCTGTGGCTCAGAGTATGTCACAAATGGGCTTAGGTGAGTGGCAACATCTTGACGATCTCCCTGTGCATTAGAAGCTCAGGGGCTTGGATGGGCCCCACAGTTGCATGCCTATTTGCAATGTTTGGGGTTCCTCAAACACTCACAGGAGCTTGAGTTACCCATGTCCATTAACCATCCCACAGATTCTTCACCCTTCATTTTCCTCTTCAAGGTACAGCTACCAGGCCATCACGAAATCTGCATTTTCCTCTCCCCCAGTTATGCTCTAAAACCTGGACCTCATATTCTAAACACATCCACACTCATTTACAAGTTCCTTGGGGGCATCAGACAACAAATCAGACATTGCTAATGAGGAGCTTTCTGGAAGCTCAATGAGATCCAAAAGAAACGTACTCTAAACTTGTGGATGGGTCACTCATGGCGCCCCGGGGCGACCTCCAATCCCCGTAAGCCCCAGATCCCATTTCTCACACACACACCCTCTGCTGTTCTCCCAGCAAGTCTTACCTGGTCCAACTCCCACTTTGATTATATCTGCTCCGGAAAGAATCAGCTCTTCTACCATCTCTCCTGTCACCACGTTCCCAGCCTGAGACAGAAAGAACACAGCCCAAGATCACGAACTACTCCTGGTGGTACAAAGGTGAATGAGTGAGGAACTCCGCACCGGGGCACAAGGATGAACATGTCCAAACACCAAGCAGCTGGGAAGCAAAACAAAAAAGAAGGGTGGGGAGAGAAAACACTGGATCCAATAGGAGCACAGAATTTGACGCGTGGAGACAACATTTGGGTAAGGTACAGAACTCTGTGATTGTAGAACTCCAAGGCCTGAGACTGTCTAGGTCAGAAGTTTGTGAACATTTCAGCGATGGACAAAAATAAAAGCTGAGAGAGAACCCAAACACAAAATAAGCAATGCAACACTCTCTCAGCTGACTCAAATCTAGTGAATATAAGGCATAAAATGCTTCACAAATTATAAAACCCCTAAAGAACCTTTTTGGAGCCCCAGGAGCCAGGATTAGGAAACTACTGGTCATCTCACAGTTGGGAAAATACAGGGTATCCCGCCCCAGGATCAGAGGTTCCCACCTAGATATGAAAGGGCAGATGAGCCCTCCTGGACCAACAGCACTGGACCCTAGTCCGTTTTCAGAACACGAAGCTATGACCCTAATAAAATGCATGTAAGCCAGGAAGTGGCAGAATCTGAAAACCAGGATGCCTCTGGACTGGAAATAGCACATGTTCTTTCACCGCTGGAGTCTGGGAGCTCAAAAATAGCCCTTTTATGACAAGTTACTGCCCTGTGGATTCTTCAGCTGGTGCATAGGAGACTTGGCGAGATACCTGACGGAATTTTCACAACCGTGCAAAGTCTTATTTTGGGAAGTGCATCCCTACTCATGCCACTTTTTTTTTTTTTTAATTGAAGCCCCACTGTCTTTTCACTGAACTGATTCCCAGAGGGAATTTTTCTTTTTTAACCTACACAAAGTGACTTTTAACTCTGTATAAAGGGATCCTGGAAAAGGACAATGAGGAAGGCTCAAGGCTGCTTTAATCCAAACAGCATGTGACAATGGAAAACCATAGATGGTCCAGAAAAGGGCTCGAACATACGAGGATTATGTTACAGGTCAGCGAGGAAAGAAACTGTATTTCAAGAGGCTAAGCTGGGAAAGGCATCTTTGGGGAACACATATAGATTATCACTCATACTTTTCACCAAAATAAGCTTCGGGGGGATTACAGAGTTCAACCAAAAGTTTTATCCCCCCAAACTTAGAAGAGAACCTTGAATACTTGTAATAAGCATAAAAGTGAAAGAAACATAAACACGGATCTGTCTACCTGAAAATAAAAGGCTTGTGCCCATAAACACACAAAGTCATACGTACAATCAACGAAACCAAGGGGCAAATGAGCTGATGGGGAAAATGCCTGCACTTATGACAAAGGGTTCCTGACATTGCAGGAGCTCTTCCAAATTTACAAGAAAAAACGCTAACACTTCCTTGACTCACTGCTAAAGGACATGAACAAAGTACTGAAAGGCAACAGTGGCCAACAGACACAGTGAAAGTACTGAACCTCACTAATAATCAATTTTAAAATTATGAGACCAGTAAAGTACTACTTTTCACTTCACAAATTACTGATGATTGTAAACATGAAATGCTAAAGAGAAAATGGACACTCTCTTTCTCCGCTGGCGGAGTGTCTAATTTTTAGTACAAGCTGTCTTAGAAAGCAATGTGTCCACACAGACGAAATGCAAAAATACATATATCCTTTCATCCAATAAGACTACTTCTAGAATTCTCTCCCAAGGAAATAATCACAGATGAGGCCAAAGGATTTAACTACAGGATGTTATTTACAACAGTGCAAAACTGCAAGTAGATTCCCCAAAATGGGAAGGGTTTCAACAATCAAGGGCTCGTCCAAGTGATGCTTGGAAGCCTGGTTTAATGGCAAGGGAAAATGCTTAAATGTTTTCAGTACAACATTAGGGGAGACGCAAGGAAATAGCAAAATCTCCATTTTGTTGAAAACAAAACACAAGTGTATGTGTATATGAAAACATATACCAACATGCTAACAAACTGTGTCTACATGAAGGGATTAACTCACTTTTAATTTTTTTCTTTAAAATGTTCTGTGTATGGACAGTATAAACTGTATTACTTTTATTAAAAACATGTTCTTTTGTGGTCTTTGGTTTGTTTTTTTTTAAGCACAAGGACCAGCATGAACTCTGTACCTAAGAAAGAACTTAACAGAAACCTGAGAAACAAGACTCTCATTCTTCCTCTCTGGTTGACCTGCTGAACAATAAAGGTTTAAAAATAAGATTTAAAAAAATTAAAAAAAAATTAAAGAAGCTACTGGTTCCCCACATAGTATCATTTTCAATGTTGATTTTTTCCCCCCAGTCTGGTGCTGCCTACAAAATCATTGTACTTCAAAGGGCCTATTTTACACAAAATAAAAGAATTCAAGTTAGCTCATGATGGACAAACCAGGCACGGTCAAAGTTTAAAAGCACGGAGGATGGTGATACCGTCTGGGTAGCCCAGAGGCTGGCACAGGTATCCCCGCCTCCCCTCAGCTACCTGTGTGGCTCCTTAACCAGAGGTTAGATCGCGGTCACCAGAGAGGGCCGCTGGTTGGAAACCCCCCCCGAGTACTATGACGTCTCTCAAGCCTGAGAACAACACAACAGGAATGCTGACGACTGGGAGAGGAAGAGTGAGAGATTCCACTTGCAGGAACAAAAAGCTGTCTATTCAAGTTTGAAGTCAAGAAGGGCAAAAATAAGGGAAAAAAAGAAAAGACAAAATCAGAATGAGAACGTTGACAGGAGTTATAGCCAGGCTCCAGGGACAGCCCCAGGGAGGCGAAGCAGCTCCAGGCCTGCACGTGGGCCTAGGCCGTGCTGGGTGGAAGGAGTGGACTGGCGGCGATTAGTGAGGAGCTTGCTTATCTTGGCCGGATGCACCATGGGTGTGCAGTGAATATGGGCTGTCATGATGGGACCACACCCCGCAGCACATCCGGCTAACACTCAGGCAGCTCATGAGTGATCATTTTTGGGGCAGCCACAGCAAAACAGAATCTCCAGATCCTTATCAAGGTATCAAAGTTAGCAAGTGGAGATTTCCACTGGGCACCCCTCTCCCCAGGAGGCTGTGCTCTGCTGGCAATGACTGCTCCTCCGTTCAAGAAGGGTGAGGACCCCAGAAAGAGACATAAAAGCCACAAAACAAACATTTTAAGTAATTTTGTACCATTTTAAAAAGTCCTCTGGGCAAAAACCAAAACCCAAACTGTTTTGCCCCAATTTTTCCAGCGCTCCTTTAGACCTGGATACCTATGGCAAAATACGTTCAGAAAGACCTCAGGTCAACAATGGACCTCCCGCTTCCCATGCGATCAAGAAAATCACTTCAGCTCTGAGTCTCTATTTTGCTATAAAATCACTCACCATGCCCACTCCTTGTCACTAGGTTTACAAAGTTCTATAAATTCCTAGCACGTGTGGGGCTCAGTAAAATGCTAGTCCCTCCACTTCAGAGTGACTTATGTAGATTGAGCTTCTACTCTCCTTTTCTTTTAAGTTTTAACTGTGGTCAAATGTTTATAACATAAAATTTACTGTTTTAACTATTTTTATTTTTATTTTTTTAACTTATCTTTATTGTTGAAAGTATTACAGATGTCCCTTTTTAAGTACATTTACACTGTGGTGCACCATCACCACCACCCATCTCCAGAACTTTGTCATCTTCCCAAGCTGAAACTCTGTCCCCACTAAACAATAACTTCTCTACCCACTTTTTACTTGCCCTTTTCCCAGAAAAGTTGTTTCTACAGAAAGGGGCAGGAGTCAGCACGCAGCTGCAGGCTAGATTTGGCCCATGCACCACAATCTGCCAACTAAATATAAGATGATGGAACCTCATGCCAGTGCCCAGCACATGGAAAATGGCATCAACTTGCCCGGGGAACCAGGGAGTAGGAGATGCTAGCAAGGCAATGACCACCTTTGACAGCACATTAACCTATTTACTACGTGACTCTCAGAGACAGACAGCATCTGAATCTCTGAGGCCCTCGTGGCTTCTACCACAGTTCCAGCTCACAGCAGTCCCAGGAAAAGGGCGACAATAAAAAATCCAGGTGACTCAGCCTGAGAGGCACTGTGAGCCATTACGAGTCCCCTGAACCTCAGTGAGGCACACCTGACTATGTTAAGGCCGCCCTCACTGACACCTGCAAGAGGCCCCGGAGAGTATGCACTTCTGGGAAGAGGTAGAGAGCGGAAGGTGTCTCCTGCAGCTCAGACCATGACTACTGGAGAAAGGGTACTGACAGGTGACTGAGACAACGGCCACAGGAGAAACGCCAAGGCCATGCCCATGGCTACCTGGGACCGGCCAACAGCGGCTGACCTGACATTCCCCAAGGGCATAGAGCTGGGCCTCTGGTCTCACCTGAACAGCTTAGGTGTCACAGACCCACCTCTTCACTGGACCGGGTCAAAAAGAGCCACCAGCACAGAAGCATTTCTCAGACCCAACGCAGGGACGTCTACACCCCAACAAGCCTGAGCTGGCATGCAGGCGGGCTGCAGTGTGGTACAACGGGAAGGTCATGGGGCCTGGGGCAAGCTGCCTGGCTCCAAACCCCAGGCTCTGTGATCCTTGACCTAAGACTAAGTTTCACATTATTAAATGTAGGTGCTATTACCCTTACTCACAGATTTGTTATTAAGAGAGAAGAGTTTCCCCCACGCTAGTGCCTTTTCCCACAGCATCTAAAATCTACCCATTTAGCACACTCTTCTAATAGCCAGCACCTCTAGGGGACCCTTTTCTGCTAAAGATGTTCTCTAAGCTCCCTGCTTCCTCCTATGTGTGGCAAGGCTCGACCGGGGAGAAAGGCAAGAGCAAACGGCATGCAAGTAAATCCATGGTGCACTGGGCAAAGTTAGTGACAAGCCCTCGCTCCCAGCACAAGCACCCAGAATGCCAGTCTCTGCCAAGGACATTTCTGAGCACCTCTTCTGCTCCCTGCACT